CTCCCCAGCCCTTAAGAGCTCTCTGAAAGCCTCCTAAAGGCGATGCACAGCCATTTTGGTGAAGAGGGCGGGGTTTGGGGAGGCAAAAAATACAGCAGATAGTGATCCAGCTCTGCTACATGGCTAAATATCTTAGGCATGACAGGGCTGCGGGAATTAATTGTTCGGAAGAGTGATGGCATGAGGGAAAGAAAGAGACTGAGGGGGTGTATAGTATCGGGCAGTGTTTCTCAACCTTGGCAACTTGAAAATGGGTGGACTTCAACTCCCAGAATTCCTCAGCCAATGCAGCTGAGGAATTCAATCAATCCATCAGAATAGACCTGGAAGAGACGTTGGAGAGGTGGAGCTCTCGCCTCGTGATCAGAAGGCTGTGAGTTCGATCCTAGGTAACGGCAGATATTTCTCGCTCTGGGCACAATGAGCAATTATCTACTGTGAACTCTGCATTGGCGACAAGAAGATCACTCGGCTCTCTTCAGTTGCCCAGACTCCACCCTGATGGATTACGGGATCATAAAAAAGACTGAATGCATGCATGCATGTATGTAAGTATGCATGATTAGAATCTGAAAGCAAAATTTCTTGCAATTTTGTGAAATTCCCAAAAATTGACATTTGGAAAAAAAACAGCCGCTGAAAAGAATGAGACTGTTTATATGCAAGATGCTGGCCTGAAGATCCTTATTTCTCTGTCCGGAAATGTTACATGCGAGCATTCATCTAAGAAAAAAAAGTTTTCTCTATCCGTAGTCGGCCCTTATGTAAGTCTGCCTTTGTAAATTATTCAGCAGGTTGGATTGAAGGTGAGCCGAACTGAACACAAACAGAACTGGACTTCCCAATTAGGCCCTGTCCCTGTTCAAGAAGGCTCAGGCTGTTGAAAAGCCAGGTTAATGCACTCACAAGCTTTGAAAAAAGCATCCGGAATAAAATACGGTAAACCTTAAAATTCTACCCGCTAAAGAGGGGAAAAAGGCTTACCGGGGAAGAAGGAAGCCTGAAGTTAAAAAAAAACCCAACAACTTCAGAATGACAAATTGCCCAGGTCTTTCTGTTTTACAAATCACAGTGAATTCTCCTTCCCCTTCACATCATAATAATCTCCCACACGTAAATAAATAAATATAGATGCCTCTCAAGCAAAGCTGTCATTTTAATTTTCCCATTTTGATGCATCCTCTGCCTGGTTTGTTTTCGTGGTTGGCCATCAAGTAGCAATGTTTTTTGGGGGGGAGGGGCTGCACCACAAAAATGCATCGTAGAGATATTGCAGATTGCACCACAAAAGACATTTTGAGATTTTGTGGGTTGCACCACAAAAGAGCATCATGGGATGCCCAGAAGCTGGGCTCTCCAAATTGAAGACTTGTCTGAAATGAATTGTTCTCCACCTTAAAATGCTTCTTAAAAAGACACCAAGGCTAAGACACTGAACTTGTCAATTAGAAAGGTGGACAGTTTGGTGGTTCGAATCCCTAGCGCTGCATAATGGAGTGAGCTCCCATTACTTGTCCCAGCTTCTGCCAACCTAGCAGTTCGAAAGCAAAAATGCAAGTAGAAAAACCGGAACCACCTTTGATGGGAAGGTAACAGCGTTGGCTGACCTTGTTCCCATGTCTCTCCCAGTCATGTATATTTTAACAGAAACTAATCAAGGAGAGAAGCAACCTGGAAACTTGTTTCCTGACAGTTAGAAACAATTAATCGGTGGAACAACTTGCCTCCAGAAGTTGTGAATGCTCCAACACTAGAAGGTTTTAAGAAGAGATTGGACAAGTCTGAAATGGTATAGAGTTTCCTGCCTAAGCAGAGGGTTGGACTAGAAGCCCTCCAAGGTCCCTTCCAACTCTATTATTTTATATTCTATCTGCTTATCCCAGGTGCTTGGGAAGGACTCGATAGATGGAGAACAATGCCTAATCCAATCGGAACATCTGACCGACTGTATCGTTGCCATCACAATAATCCCAAAACAGTTCCTTGATTCCTCCCCCCTGCCAATTTGGAATGAAATTTGCTTTCCCTTTTTTGTTTTTTTAAAAGCTTCCAAACTCAGAGAACTGATTTGGATATATCTGAGCAGATGGCAGCCTCAAACTTTTTTTCCTTTGAAGCTCCTGTTTTTCTCACCCTGCGATTCCGAGCCAGGGAATTGTCAGGTAATCAGCTCGGCGGGAGATTAACGCACAAATGAAGAAGAAATTAAAAAATAATGACAGCAAAATAAGGGGCTGGCTGGAGCTGCAGAGTTAGTAGAAGAGCCAATGTTGTTTTACCTTGTCTGATCCTGCCAGCATTTCATTTTTTAAAAGAAAATTCTAAGCATCGGCACCTTTATTCACCTTGACGCTATTAGCAGGTTGCCTTTACTGGCTGTGCCAACCTCGGTGATACAGCTTGGCAGAAAACAGACATACTCACACCTAAGAAGGCAATTCAAAGTGTATTTTTAGGAAACATCCCGGTTATAGTTTCGGGTCTATTTATAATTTATTGGCCAAGCATCACCAAATCCTTTTAACGTTCCCCAGATGAAGGACTTATTATTAACTTCTGATTAGCATCAGCTCGGGAGAACTGGCCTCGCTCGCTTTCTCTGACTAGGGTTGAGCCAAAAATATTTGTAGTGTTACATAGCAATAGCAATAGCAGTAGACTTATATGCCGCTTCATAGGCCTTTCAGGCCTCTCTAAGCGG